TTATTCAAGGTCATGACAAAAAAAATGTTTGGTGAAGTAATTAAGAAATAGTTTGCATGGAGTTTTTTTTTTTTTTTAAATCTTTTCTTAACCCTTTACCTACATTTATCAATTAATGGTTAGTTTTCCTCTCTTTCTTTCTTTTAACCATTTGAAAGAAAGTTATAGACATCATGACCCTAAATACTTCAGCATGTATCTACCAAAAATAAGAAAATTCTCCTAGATTACTATAATCCCATCATTACACCTAAGAAAATTAACATTAATTCAGCATCATCTAATAGTCTACACTCATATTTCTGCAGTTATCTTAATATCTTTTTTTTTTTGAGACAGATTCTCACCCTCACCCAGGCTGGAGTGCAGCAGCGCCATCTCGGCATACTGCAGCCTCAGCCTCCCGAGTAGCTGTAACTACAGGCCCGTGCCGCCACGCCCTGCTAATGTTTTGAATTTTTAGTAGAGACAGGTTTTCATTGCGTTAGCCAAGATGGTCTCCATCTCCTGACCGAGTGATCTGCCTGCCTTGGCCTCCCAAAGTGGTAGGATTACAAGTGTGAGCCACTGCACCCGCCATTTTAATATCTTTTATTGTGGTTTTTTTCTAATCCAATTAAGGTTTATTGCATTTGGTTGTTTTGTCTCTGTAGTTTAAATAATCTAGAACAAACCTCTCTTCTTTTGTTTTTCATGACATTAAATTTCTTTTCAAGTCCAGGCCTTATAAAGTACCCTCACATTCTGGATTTATTTGATTACTTCCTCATGATTAGATTCAGGTTCAACTTTGTCAGCAAGGGAAATCATGTAGATAAATGTCACAAACCTCTCATTGCATCATTTCAGGAGACCCATAGTGGCAAATTGTCCCTAAGTTTGATCACCTGGTGGAGGCAGTAGTAGTCAGATCTCTCCATTATAAAGTTACTTTCACTCATAGCTAGTAAGTTAAGGTGGGGTGATGCTTTAAGACGGTGAATGTTGTCTCCTCGTAACCTTTCACCCAATGGTTTTGGCATATGCTGATGATCCTTATCTGATTCCGTTATCTCACTGAAGTTTGCAAAGTGGAGATTAAATCAGTCTTGACTGTTTGTCAGCATTCATATGGAAAGAAGGTATGCTGGGTTTGAGAACATCTGAATTTAGGTTACCTCAAATCATGCTGGCTACTCAGAAAGCAAAGGCTCCTTTTACCACGTTTCTTAAGAGATCATCTCCCTTCGAACTCCTTTGCTGGGGTGGGGAGTACAGGGGATACTTTTTTTCCCCATGCCAATCAACACCCACCTGAGAGAAAAGACTCCTAACTTCCTCCTCCTAAGCATCACAGCTTTAGGTTGCCTCTCTGGTGTCTGCCTCTGGTGCTATCCATCTCTCCTAAGCTCTGCTGGGAGAACATAGAAGCTGTGATCCAGTAATTTCCTCAGTATCTCAGAATCCTAACTACAAACCACCTGCATCAGCCCCCATTCTTTCTACCTTCCTTCTTACTACGAAGAAGAAAGTGCCTTCTATCTGTGGTCTCAATTCCACTTCTTCCTGTCTTCTCAAGAATCTTATGCAACTGATTATCCTTTTTCCTGTGCTGTTATGTTCAAGTCTCCCGTTGCTCCCTTACTGGATTTTTATCATCATCATTTAAATATTTTATAGTCTTATCTTAAAAAGTCCTTTCTCTTCCCAGTCACCTTTAGCTTTGTTTCTATTTTCCCCTTAACAGCTGAGCTGTCTAAACGTTCTGTCTCTACTTCCTACTTCATTTTTTTTTTTTTGAGATGGAGTTTCCTTCTTATGCCCAGCCTAGAGTGCGACAGTGAGATCTTGGCTCACTGCAACCTTCACCTCCCGGGTTCAAGCGATTCTCCTGCCTCAGCCTCCCAAATAGCTGGGATTACAGGTGCCCGCCACCATGGCCAGCTAATTTTTGTATTTTTAGTAGAGACAGGGGTTTCGCCATGTTGGCCAGGCTGGTTTTGAACTCCTGACCTCAAGTGATTCATCTGCCTCAGTCTCACAAAGTGCTGGGATTGCAAGTGTGAGACACTACTCCTGGCCTCTACTTCCTACTTCTTACTCAGTCTCAATAAACTCTATTCTGGATTCTGCTCCTACCACTTCACCAAACAGCTTTTACTAAGATCACTGATGACTTGTAAGTGAGTGTATTCACTGGACTAATTTTGCTTTACCTATCAGCAGCATTTGACCAGTTGACTACATCCTGCTTTTTAAAACACTTTTGTTCCTTGGTCACTATGACACTGCTCTTTCCTGGTTTCCTTCTGAACTTTCTGACAGTTCTGTCACAGTTAGTTACCTCTGTCAGTGTTCTTCAGCTTCAGCCTAGTCCTCTTCTCTGATTTTACAAAATCTCATTAAATCATCACACTCACTTTCATAACTTCAATTAATTTACCCTCTGATGCCTTCCACCTTTATATCCCAAGCATAAATCTCTCTTCTGAGCACCAGGCTTATAAATTCAACTGCTACTAGACACCTCCATCCAGATGCCTCACTGGCCCCTCAAATTCATTGTGACTGGAATTAAACTCATCATTTTCTCTCCAAACCTGCTTTTTGTCCAGAGTTTCCTATTTTAGTAAATGCCACTGAATCTGGAGATAACCCTTGCTTGATATTTTTTCTGCCTCACCTCCCACATCTAGTCAGTTATCAAGTTCTGCTGATTTTACTCCCTAAATTAAATTCATTTACTTTTCCCCATCTTCCCTAGTCCGGGCAACCATCCTCACTCACCTGGACCACTGTGATAGCCCCCTCATGGTTTCCCTGCATATATTCTGCCTTTCCAATCCATTCTGCATACTGCAGCCCAAATGATTTGTAACAGCTTTGATAAGATGTAATTAACATAACTTATAGTTCATCCATTTAACCAAGTGACCTTTTAAAAACACAAATCTGAGCAGGTTATTCCCTGCTTATGATTTTGAAATCAAGTCTGAATCCTTATTCTAGCTTAAAAGGTCCACATGATCTGCCTCTTGCTTCCTGAAGCCCCCAACTTCATTCTCTGTCATTCACTCTCCAGACTTCATCCATGGTTGCCTTTTCTCTATTTCTTGAACTTGCCATATTCTTTATTCCATTTTTACACATTGATCTTTTTTCTTAGAATACTGTTCCCTCTCTACCACTTTCTAACTCATCAGTCTTCCCGCTGCAACTTAAATATCACTTCTTCTGGGAAGCTTTCCTTGATACTCCCAGTGCCTGGTATGGTGTGGGGTCGGATACATTCACAATCATTTGCAAAATCCTTCACATTTAAAGTTTGACTTCCCTGTTAGACCAAAGGACAGGGATGGTGTTTATCTTGTTCACCTTTGCATCCTCACTGCCTAACATGGTTGCCTAGTACATAACGTGCAATCTCTAAACATGGTTGGATGAATGCTGGGTGAATGGGGGTATTGTTACCAAGATCCATGCCCTGCCCTAACCCCTGCTCTCATCGTTGTTGAAGTCACCAACTACCAAAGCTGTCTTATGTATTATTACTATTGTTCTGTGCTGAGAGAAATAGCTTCAGAATTCGGTCATGTTGTTTCACTTCTACAGCTCCCTTAATCAGGAAACTAGACTAAAAGCTGAGTCCAACAATATTGACCCTTATGCTGAACCCCCAGGCCATTAGACTTTAGGGAATAATTTTTAGCTGGGAGCAAGGGAGAATAAGTAAAAATCTGTTGATTCAAGTTTACATGTACATACACAGATGAGTTGATAAATACAGTAATGGATGCATGGATACACACATGTAAATGTGCATGTACAAACACAGGGCCCAGCTGTCGTACTCCAATATGCATACATACACTCTCTCACAGAGGCAACCTGATATATACTCACTCCTTACATATGTACACAGAGTAAAATGACATATGCTTGGCACTTATGCATATGTACAGAGGCAAGCTGATACATTCATTACATATGTACACACAGGCCAATGGCATATGGTCAATACATATGTATACATACAGAGGCAAGCTGACATACTTAAACACACACAGTGGTAAAATATAATTATTTAGTTCCATTTGACTCACTGTAATTCCTCTAGGTACCTAGCTCCTTGCCTTCTCTCTTTCATGATTCTTGGCTCAGTGGATGCCATTCTCAAGTTCCCACGTTCTCGGCTGAAACCTCTTGTCCTTCCCTTTGACCCACCTGGCTTTTTGTCAGAACTTTTCCTCCCAGCAGCTTGATTGCCTCTGCCAGTTACCAGGCTGCCATCCTGCAGGTCTGTCTAGTACCCAGCCAGCCCAGATGAGCTCTTTTCCCTGTTGACTTTAACCTTTTGGGTTTTAATTCAAAGTCTAGGCTAGGCTTTGGAGTTAGACAGACCTGGCCCTAACCCTGTTGCCCATTAACTAAGTAACCTTGGGCAAATTACCTATCCTCTCCAAACCTCGGTTTTCTCATCTATACAATTAAGATAATACTGTAATAGTACCTTCTCAGCCCAGGCAAAGTGGCTCACACCTGTAATCCTAGCACTCGGGGAGGCTGAGATGGGAGGATCAATTGAGACCAGGTGTTCAAAAGCAGCCTGATCAACAAAGTGAGACTGTCATCTCTTAAAAAAAATAAAATTAGCCAGGCATGGTGGTGCACACCTATAATCATAGCTGTTCAAGAGGCTGAGGCTGGAGGGTTGCTTCAGTGCCCAGGAGTTCAAGGTTACAGTGAGCTATGATCACGTCACTGCACTGCACTCCAGCCTGAGTGACAGAGTATGACCATGTCTCCAAAAAAAAAAAAAAAAAAAAAAAAGACTAGGTTTTTGGTTGTATTACATTAGATAATACATGCAGAGCTCTTAGTTTGGTATATAAGTACAATTAATGGCAACTGCCACTAACAATAACTAACATTTATTATGTGCTTACTATGCGACTCCTACTTCTAGCTAATGATTGACTACTTATGAGGTAATAAACATGGTTATAAGCACTTCACACGCATCACATCTATGAACCCACTTTATTCTTACAATAACCTTATGAAGCAGATAAAAATTTGATCTCCATGTTACAGATGATCAAACGGAGGCACCAAGAAGTTAAGTAATTTGGCCAAGTTCATATTGCTGGCAAATAGCAGAGCTAGGATGCAAACCCAGATGGTTTGGTTCCAGAGCCTACACTCTTAATTACTATGCTATACCTCCTACTTCCATTTACACGTGATTGTCTCACTCAGAGAAGCTATTTCTTTGGTACACTCCTTTATGAGGTAAAACCCTTAGAGAAATTTTTGAATTGCGGCTGAAAATTTCCATTTGCTGACAGATCAAGAAAAATGTTACTTCTGTATTCAGAGCAATGCTGAACAATTGAATGACAAGAAGACCTGCAGGAAAAACCCAGAGATGTCTCCTCAGTTTCTCTACCCACTCACAGGGACTGTTTGGGTGAGAAGTGACAGTGACAGTGATGAAGCCTATTCTCCTTCAGGCAGATTTAGGATGTCTTTCTGCATTCCCATAGCGCTTTTGTTCTCTAACCCTTGCCTTCTTGGCTTCTACCTTGTCTCTGTAATTAAGGACCACTCAGGGGAAGTGGATAAGAATAACAGTGATTTCAGCCAGACTCCCCACCATTGTCATCACAAGAATCTGTGAATAGAATCACAAGAAACCCAACAAAATCTCCTGACATTCTTGCAAGGGGGTCAGGATGGCTTGTGAAGACTCTTGGGTGCCTGCAGTCTTGATAATGCCAATTTTTTGCTTCAGATTTTTTATGTCACATGATGATGCTTCTCCATCTTCTCCTGCTAGTGATGTGGTGGGGCTTTACAGTCAGAATGAACCAGGTGATTCCAACTTCTTCACCTTGTGGCCTTGGGTACTTGATCTCATTAGGCCTTTGTTTTCTTATCTATAAAATGGAAATAATACTTACCAAAAAGGTGGGTGGGAAGATTAATGACAACAAATACGAAGTGCCTGGGGCATAGGCATACCTGGGTCATAGCAAGTCCTCAGTGTACTATGATCATGGCTCAATCCAGCAATTACTCTCTCCCACTGAGGTTGTTATTATCAGATGTCCTCTATTAAACCATAAGCTCTGTGAGAATGAGAGACTTTGTTTTGTTCACTGCTGTTTCTCTGTATCTATACAGTGCCTGGATCATAGTAGGTGCTCAGTAAATATTGGTTGAATCAATGAATTAAGTCCTAAACAAGTTGACCTTGCTTTTTAAGGTTTTTACTAAACTGGCTGGCATTCAGATGCTCTTGCTCACAGGAAAGTGTTCCCTCTGCCTGGAGCACTCCCTTTTCACCTGGTTAACTTCTACTCCTCCTTCTTATCTTAGCACAAGCATCACTCCTTTAGAGAAACCTCTCCGACCTTCCACTTCATTGTATTTGTTAACCATGTTGCAATTTTACTTTTATTTGTATAACTGTTTGATTAATACTTGGCTGTAAACTTCCTAAGGACAGGGACCAGGTCTCTTTTACTTACCATTGCATATTCCCAGGCACTAGGAGTAGACCTTCAGTACAAATTTGCTGAATGAATAAATAATATATCCATTTTGCAAAGATCCCCCCTCTAGAAACTGGAGTCCAGTTTCACAAATTGGATCAGAGGTCAGTCCCCGGCTTTGCAGTGCTGCACCATAAATCATTGCTTTCCCCTGTTTCTGGGTCAAGCACTGTGACTCCTACTGGGGCCAATTTGTTAGTCCCAAAGTGTCTCATTACTGTTTATCAGGACTTCGTTATGCAGCTGGACCCTCCAGCAGGAGGTCTAGGAAAGCCAGGATATTGGCAGGGCTAGGAGTATGGGATGGGATTTGCCATTTACATCTATCCCACCCTCACTCCATTTATATTTAATATTTATCATACTGAGTTGTAGTTGCTAATTTTCAGGTGACTCCTTCTCTCCCACACAGTGAGGGCAGGATCTCTTGCCCCCAGAATCTACTCCAGTGTGCAGCGAATGCTCATAAGGGTTTCTTGAAGGAATGAGATGTTTTCCATGAGTGAAGCTTAATTGAGAACAAAAATCAACTCATAAGACTATCTCTGACATTTAAAAATAAAAAACCTGAGCCAATAAATCCCTTAACCTGGATTGGGTTTTCTGTTACTTGCAACTGAAAATATTCTGGTAGAGCATAACTAATGATGTTCAATATAACATCATTATATTTTTGAACAAAAATCTCTGATTGATTTTTGTTTAAAAATATTCACTTCCTATCCACTCCCTCTCACTTACCTCCATAAGGAGAATAAATTTCTTTGAGCTCAGTTATGGGACTGATTTTAGCTAGTGATTTGTTAGCAGACGTATACAAGCAGCATGTACAAAGTGCTGGCACAGTTGAGTATGCCCCCTAGTACCACTGCCATCTTAATGACAAGAGTTCCTCCTGGGTATCTACTGTCCTATCAGCTGTGGCCCCAGAATGAACACTAGAATAGTGAACCAGAGCTCAACCAGCACACAGGAGTCAAACCCAGCTGAACCTTAGCTTGAAGCAGAGCCATCCAGTCAAGCCTAGCCTAGATCAACCAGCCAATCCCCAGCCAACCTCTAGACCTTTTGAGAAATGAATGCTCATTGTGGCATGCTGCCGAGATTTTATGGTGGTTTGTTATGGAGCAATAATTGACTGATCAAGGTTAGGTCAGGGTTTTCCAGACTTGACAGTGCATCTGAATTGCCTAGAGAACTTTAAAATAAATAAGAGATACTTGGGCATTACCTAGACTGTTTGGAATACTTCTCAGAAATCTACATTCTTTTAAAATTCTCTGGGTGGTTTTTATGCAGTGAGTCCCACAGCCTTTTGCTATCTGATATTTTGGGGTCACCAGTATTAAAGCATGTCATGGGTGTTATATTAATTCACCTCTAACAACCTTTACCTCTCAGAGATTATATGATCAAAGTCAGACAAATTCTGTTTCTGAAGCAGAGTTCTTTTCTAGAAATCTGTGTAGAATTTGTGTTAGCTGATTTGAGGAAAGATGCAGATGTAAATTAATTTGTGACTTATGGCCCCAGGATTTTTTTTGCTTTTTTTTTTTTGGAAGTCTAGCTCTGTTGTTGCCCAGTGCCCACGCGGAAGTACAGTGGCATGATCATAGCTCACGTGTAAACTTGAACTCCTGGGCTCAACTGATCTTCCCACTTCAGCTTCCTTAATAGCTAAGACTACAGGTACATGCCACTATGCTGGCTAATTAAAAAAAAATTTTTGTATAGACAAGGTCTATGTTGTTCAGATTGGTCTTGAACTCCTGGCTTCAAGCAATCCTCCTGCCTCAGCCTCAGAAAGTGCTGGGATTACAGATGTGAGCCACCCACCTACCTGCTGATTTTTTGCTTTTTATTTAATGGTTGACTTTTTTTTACTATTTCTGCCTGAGCTATGGTTAGCAGTGAAATGAAAATTCAAGGCAGAATACTGGGGCTTGGAGAGCCAAGACACAGGTCAGGAAAGAAGTATGGAAGAGGTCAAGTTTAGCAGAGAAGCTGCTGAAGGAGTGGTCTGAGAAGACTTAGCTGTGGTCTAGCAGTTAGGAATCTGAGATCCCATAGGATTCAGCAAAGCCAGAAGTTCAATTTTTGTAACTACTGGCATGCACCTAACAGTTTAGAGATAATAATATGTTAAAAATGTAAATTTATTTATATAAAAAGTATGATGAAAGTACAATTTAAAATAGTGTTTTTTTGTTTGTTTGTTTGTTTTTTTTTGAGACAGAGTCTCACTCTGTCACCTAGGATGGAGTGAAGTGGCACGATCTCAGCTCACTGCAACCACTGCCTCCCTGTCCAAACAATTCTCATGACTCAGCCGTAATAGCTGGGATTACAGGCATGCACCACCACACCTGGCTAATATTTTGTGCATTTTTAGTAGAGACAGTAGGAGAATTGTTGGCTATGCTGGTTTTAAACTTCTGGCCTCAAGTGATCCACCTGCCTCCATCTCCTGAAGTGCTGGGATTATAGGTGTGAGCCACTGCACTGGCCAGAAGGAAGTAGCTTTTTGAAATGATAAGCCTGGGCAACATAGTGAGACCCTGTTTCTAAGAAAAAAAGTTAGCTAGGCATGTTGGCACATACTCGTAGTTCCAGCTACTCAGGAGGCTGAGGTGCAAGGGTCACTTGAGCCTGGGAGGCTGAGGCTTCAGTGAGCCATGATCATGCCATTGCATGCCAGCCTGGGTGACAAAGTGAGATACTGTTAAAAAAAAAAAAAGATAAAACTTTTTCATTGAAAAAATTTCAGTTCATACAGAAAAATATAAAGAACAGGTAGTTATTACTCATAAGCTGGTCTTTCAGACATAACCACCATTAATGTATTGCTGGATAGTGTCCTTCACTTTTTTTCTATGGATGTGTACACATATATATTCTAGAAAAAAAGGGTTTTTCTATTACTCATTAGTATCCTGCTTTCTCCACATCAGTAAACACTAACCTAATTATCACCATTGTTAAAGCTGCATAACGCTCCATTGTGCTAAGATGTACCATACATTAGTCTCCACTGATGGACATTAAAGTTATAAAGACTGTGATGAACATCCTAATGCATACATTTTTGTGTGCTTGTCCAGTTATCCTTTAGATAAATTCCAGTAAATAGAATTGCTAGATTAAAGAATAAACACATTTTAAAGGTTTTTGATACACAAATTGCCCTCCTAAAATATATAAATAAGTAGTGCTCAGTCTGCTAATTCTTTTAACTCTTGTTAATCATCCAAAGGAAAAATAATTTTATGGGTTTTATTTTTATTTTTATTTTTTTTGAGATGGACTTTCACTCTTGTTGCCCAAGCTAGAGTGCAATGGTGTGATCTTGGCTAACTGCAACCTCTGCCTCCTGGGTTCAAGCATTTCTGCTTCAGCCTCCCGAGTAGCTGGGATTACAGGCAGTACAGGCACGCGCCATCATGCCTGGCTGATTTTTTGTATTTTTAGTAGAAACGGGGGTTTCACCATGTTAGCCAGGATGGTCTCTAACTCCTGACCTCAGGTGATCCACCTACCTCGGCCTCCCAAAGTGCTGGGATTACAGGCATAGGCCGCTGTGCCCAGCCAGAATTTTGTGGTTTTAATCTTTTATTACTGGTGGGTTCAAATCTGTTTTCATGAATTTATTGTCTGTACTTTTTGTGAATAAGAGTCAAGCTTCCCATTTTTCTATAATGTCAACTTTTTCTTCTTGACATATACCTTTATATTAAGTATATTGTCTCATATTTGCACTGAAGACATTTTTCCTAATGTGGCTTTGCTTGTGGTGGATTTTCACACATTTCTTAATTTTATGAATCAACTTGATCAGTTTTTCAATGAGACTTAAAATTCCTTCTGGGGTGGGAGGCAATATAATAGCATGAAAAAGGCAGAGGACTTTCACAAAATTCAGCCCAGGATCTTAGTACCTATGTCTGGGTATCATTTAGCAGGATGTGGTAGGAAGAGCACTGGACTGGGAGTCAGATCACTATGCCTCTCTGGATCCCAACTTCCTCATCTGTAGAATGGAGATTAGAATGAAAACTCCCTCCCAGGCCTGTAAAAAAAGAATTGAAGAGAACGCAGATTAAGAGCTTTCACCAGGCCTTGCATATAGAAAATCTTCTCTAAATCTCAGCTATTGTTGTGGGGAGAGGGCAATACAGACTTTTATAAAACTATTTTCAACTCAGTTGTATGTGAGTCTATGGGAATGAGGTAGGGGGTGAGGAAACTAGAAACGTAACCATTCACCCAACATCTCTGAGAACTGCCTGGCAGGAGTCAGAACTTGGGCTCCCATCCTGGTCCTGCCCATTTCTTGGTAGGCGACCTTGGACAAGTCACCTTTAACTCTTCTGCGACTGTTTCTTTACCTAAAAAGTATTGCAGATATATGAGAGACCACCTGCCCTCATTCGCAGCCCTGCTGCTGGGCGAAGGAAACGCTTCAAAAACGCTCATAAAGGGCGGCAAACACGTCAGTTACCGAGCTGCCTACAGCCGAGGGGTGGCCGCAACCCCGGCCCCCGCGCCCCCGCCCCGCCGCAGGAACAATAGCTCCCCCGGAGGCGGCGCCGGCCGCGGCCAGGGGCGGAGCTGTCGGCTCGGGCGCTGGGGGTGTGCGCGGGGCGGGGTCGCAGCCACCCCTCCCGCAGGCGACTCCGTCACGCGCCCCTCACCGGGCGGGCCGGGGTCTTTGTGACGCGGTGGCAGCGGCCACGGACACAAAGGGAAGGCGAGGAGGCGAGCGAGGGGCTGGGCCTGCCTCGGGCCCGCGACCCCCGCCCGCCGCGCGCGCGCCCGCTCGTTCCCCTCACCGCGGTCTCCCCCACGCCGGCTCGCACCCTCGCGCGCACCCTCGCGCGCCCGCGACCCTCGCACGCGCCCGGACCCACCGACTCCGTCCCGAGCGCCGCGGGCCCGGGCCTGGCGGGCGCTGCGGGTGGGGCGGGGATGCTGAGGGGCTGCTCCCCGGCTCCGCGGCGCGGCTGCTAGGAGGCGCCGAGGCAGCGGCGGGGCTGTGGGCGCGCGGCTGGATGCCCCCGGCCTGCGGCTCCCTGCGCTTCCCGCCGTCCAGGGGCGCCAGTCATGGGCACAGCGGTCGCTGAGGCGCCGCTCCGGCTGCCTGCCGCGCCCCCGCTCGCCTTCTGCTGCTACACGTCGGTGCTTCTGCTCTTCGCCTTCTCTCTGCCCGGGAGCCGCGCGTCCAACCAGCCCCCGAGTGGTGGCGGCGGCGGCGGGGACTGTCCCGGCGGCAAAGGCAAGAGCATCAACTGCTCAGGTAGGACCGGTCGGAGCCGGCCCTAGGTCTCACCACCCCACCGTGGCCGCCTCCCTCCTGGTCCCCGCGGTCGGCCAGGCTGGGAAAGACCCCGGCGTGGGGGTCCCAGGGATCTGGGCCCGAGGGTGAGCGAGGGCGGAGGGCAGGGCGCGAGCGTGCGGTGTGGCTTGGGGACCGGCGCTGGGGATGGGAGTGGCTGTGCGTGCGTCCGAGTGTGTCGAGTGGCCGGGCGAGGGCGGCCCAGCTCGTGGGGAGGCGGTGGGGCCGGGGCGAGGCAGAGCAGCAGGCAGGGGCTCCCTGTGTGGTCGTGGGTGTGCTCGCGGGAGCGCGTGTTTGTGTTGTGAAGGCTCAGGGGAGGGAGGGCGGCCCCAGGCAGGAATCTCTGTGTGTGTACGGAGTGCAGTGGGTGGGAGAGGGCCAGGGGCTGGGCAGGGTGAGGGCAGGGGAGTGACCATGTGCTGGGGAGGGTCTTCCTTAAGGCACTGGGGTCTTGGGGGGGGGGCATGTGAATAAAGGGAACGGGTTGCCTTGAGGACGCGGGTTGGCGATGCAGAGTGACTGTGTGAGTGTGTGTATGCCGGCGCTTGTGTGTGTTCTTTGGGTTCTGAGATGGGATCTGGGGGCTTGGAGTGACCTCGGGTCTGTGGATATCAGAGGGAAAGTCCCAGGGATCCTGTGTTTTTGTGTGTTGTGTGTGTGTGACACACCTGGGGCTCAGTCACCCTGGGGTATGCCCTAAAGAGGAGGGATGGGTGCCCTGTAGCGAACCCCATTTGTGTCTCTTCAAAGGGAGGGGGTTTGGGAGTCATCATCCTGTGTAGGGTTTGGGTGTAGAAAGAGGAAATTAGGTCTCAGGGAGTGCCCTTGTGTAGCAAGGTGTAACCCTGGGTTATTAAAGTGGTGTGGAAAGAGAGAACTGGGTCCCAGGGAAGATGCCTTGCCCGTGTTTGTGTGTTTTGCGGGAAGGCCTGGATATTGGCAGCAGCGGGAGCAAGGAAGTGACCTGTCCCCTCTCTCCAAGGCCGCTTGCCCCCCCCCCCCAAACAGCTGTTGGAAACAAAGAGCTTGCTGGGGCTTTCATGGATAACACTGGGGAGGAGGGTCCCGGCAGTAAAGTTCCCTCTTCCTTTCTAAAGGGGTCCCAGAGGCACACAAGGATTAAGGCCCTGGGGCAAAGAGAGGCATTCAGGTCTCATGGGCCTGGGGCCGGGGGCCTTGGGGGGTTACTCCTGGAGCTTACCTAGCAGATGCTAGTGATCATAAGCCACATCTTTGCTAACTTGCCCTTTTATCATTTCGGAGCCTTCTCTTGTCTTCTTTAAACCAAGGTGGAGTAGGGGAGGAAGGAGGGACATCAGGCCACTAGGAATCTGCCATATTCTCTCGAAGGGGCATTATTTCTGGAAGAGTGAGGAAGGAGCAAGAGGATCTCAGCGCAGATGCTTATGCTACCCTAAATGAAGCAAGCCTTTGGCCTGCTGTTTAGGTTTGAAGGCCATACATCTTTTAATAATTTTCATATGGTAATGTTTTATGAGGGGAAGGGCAGTTTTGAGCACAGTTAATAATGGCATGTCCATTAAAAGCATTTCCATCCCTGAAATAACTTTTCCTTTATTTTTCTGATGTTGTGTGAGATATGGGATAATGCTTTCTTACATAATCACACTTCAAGAATAAAAACCAGTTGTATATTAGAGTGCCTTTTTATGTAACAAATATTAATTAACAAACTTGTAAGTGATCACACCATGTCAATAGTTTTCTGGCTAATGTGTCCCAGGTTTTGTTCTTGCTAAGCTAATTTGTTCTTAGCAAAATATAGTATGTGTTGATGGGATGTTTCTGTGTATGCTTTCTAACTTGTATAGTACAAGTTTTAAGAAAGGAAATAAAGGAAATAGAGGGTTGGATACCCTTGAGGACACGGGTTGGCGATGCAGAGCGACTGTCTGTGTTTAGGCGCGTGCGTGTTCTTTGGGTTCTGAGATGGGATCTGGGGGCTTGGAGTGACCTCAGGTCTGTAAATATGGGCAGGAAAAGTCCCAGGGCCTGGGAAGTGAACCTGTGTTTCTGTGTGTTGTATGTGTGTGTGAAGCCTGGGGGTCAGTCAGTCACCCTGGGGTGTGCATTGAAGCGTGGTGGGCGCCAGATGATGTGGGAAAAAGGGGACTGATCTAGGGGTCATGGCCCTTGCTAAGCAGCTGTGTAATTTGGGGCAAGTTACTTAATTTCTCTTAGCTTCCTTTCCTTTTAAAAAAGAGTCTTGGATTTAGTAATATCTGAGTCTTCTTTCAAGCATATTTGTCACTGATATAAATGTCAATAAATTAAGCTGATCAAATAAAATGTTTTCTAGCAGTGAGATATACTTGAATAACTGGGTCTAAAGCTAGAGTTTTAACTAAATGATACTTGTAGATTCTTGTAACTTTTTTTTTTTTTGAGACAGAGTCTCCCACTGTTTCCCAGGCTGTAGTGCAATGGTGCAATCTTGGCTCACTACAGTCTTCGCCTCCTGGGTTCAAGCAATTCTCCTGCCTCAGCCTCCCAAGTAGCTGGGACTACAGGTGTGTGCCACCACGCCCAGCTAATTTTTTTGTATTTTTAGTAGAGACGGGGTTTCATCATGTTGGCCAGGATGGTCTTGATTTCCTGACCTTGTGGTCTGCCCACCTTGGCCTCCCAAAGTGCTGGGATTACAGGCATGAGTCACGGCACCTGGCTGATTCTTGTTACTTTTTAGGATAAAGACCTGGGGACGATTTATATGGCAAAAAAAATTTTTTGGTTGCTAAATTTGAAAACCATAGTAATACAGTCTGGACACACACATCTATTAATGCAGCTTGAAATTGTGCATAGTTTTTTTAGTAGCTTTTATTATTTAGGTATCCCCACACAAACTGAAGTTTACTCTGTCATCTCTTTTTTTTTTTTTTTCTTTTGAGATGCAGTCTCACTCTCATCCAGGCTGGAGTGCTGTGGTGCGATCCCAGCTAACTGCAACCTCTGCCTCCTGGGTTCAAGTAATTCTCCTGCCTCAGCCTTTGGAGTAGGTGGGACTACAGGCACCCACTGCCACTCCCAGTTAATTTTTTTGTATTTTAGTCTAGATGGAGTTTCACCATGTTGGCGAGGCTGATCTTGAACTCCTGACCTCAAGTGATCCACCCGCCTTAGCCTCCCAAAGTGCTGAGATTATAGGCATGAGCCACTGTGCCCAGCCTATTTCAGTTTCAAAACTAAATGCTGCCATTGACTCCCTGTAGACTTTCATTTTAGGTTTTGGACTATCATTTCAGCCTTCTATGACCTTTCTGGAGCTGATTCTGTCAGGCTGTGTCTGTTGGGTCACTCACAGTTGTTTGTTTTTTTTTTCACTTGCTAATGTGAAGAGGTCTATGGGCTTATTAAATTAATAGAAGTTGTCTAGATTGTGAAAAAGGATGGAACCCTGTGATATATTATTGGAGACTTTTTACCAACTTGATTGATGTTGTTACGTTAGTCAACCAGGTGTTCAACTGGCTATGCATCTTGTTAGTTGAATTTAACAGATTTTTGAGCTTCTACTGTTCAACATTTTCCCATCTTGTTCACCAGCCTATTATTTAGAAGATTATTTCAGATTGTCGTATTAGATTTAGTTACGTATATGTATCATCCTCTCGTCCTCCCTTTTTCCGTTTTAGTAATCCTGCTAAATAAAAAGCGCATGTTATATAGCCTGCCTTAATAAAGAGCTGATGGTGGCTTTCTCTTTTTGCTGTATTCAAAAACTTACTTATCCATTTTAGAATTTTTCAGCAGTTGCATGGCAGGTTTACCCATAGATGTTTTTCTGGATCTGCATTCTGCCTTTTTTTTGTGGGGGTGTGGGGGAGACAGTCTCAGTCTGTTGCCCAGGCTGGAGTGTGCAGTGGCATGATCTTGGCTCACCATAACCTCCGCCTCCTGGGTTCAAGCAATTCTCCTGCCTCAGCCTGCCGAGTAGCTGGGACTACAGGTGCACGCTGCCACACCTGGCTAGTTTTCTTTGTATTTTAGTAGAGAAGGGGTTTCATTGTTTTGC